TCATCGCCATCTTCTTCTTCTCCCTTTAAACTTGCCTATTCTGTAAGTTATTTCTTACCCTTTGTCCCCTTCGTCTATCTCATCTTCACTTTTTCTTTCTTTCTTTCTTTCTTTCTTTCTTTCTTTCTTTCTTTCTTTCTTTTACCGCCAGTACCTTTTTTTTCAGGAACTCGTTCGTGTTTCTACTTATAAAAATCGTCGTGATCATCATTAACATAGAGATTTCTAGCCTTCATCAAATTTGTCACATTATTCCAACCTCCCTTTTTGCAACAAACACACTCAGTCTCTCTCTCTCTCTCTCTCTCTGTTTATTTGTTCTTTCCTCCTTTCTTTCTTTCTTTCTTTCTTTCTTTCTTTCTTTTTGACTATTTTTCTTTATTGTCCTTTTCTTTTACTGTATTGTCCTCATTTTCTATTCCGATCTCGCTTTTTTGCAACCAACACACTCTCTCTGTTTGTTCTTTCCTCCCTTCTTTCTTTCTTTCTTTCTTTCTTTCTTTCTTTCTTTCTTTTTGACTGCTTTTCTTTATTGTTTCTTTCTTTCACTATTGTCCCTCTTTTCTATTGTGCTTTAATGTTATGGTCTCTCTTTTTTATCTTCCTTTTAGGACATATTTCATAGGCTTCTTGATTCATTATAAAAATTACATAAAATATCATGTCTCTTTCGCGCCGTAGGCGGTCATGGCTCTCCTCAGATTCCTTTTGAAAAAGAAATAGTGGAGTGACGTTTTCTTCCCCACGGCTGAAAAACTAGACTTTTCCTTTTCTTAGATTGGTTGTCGTTTCTTAGACTGGTTGCCTCGATAAACCCTGATCGGATATTTAACCTGTAGCTTAGGGAGAAGCGAATTTAATTTTTTTTTCAAAATATTTTTCAGCTTCATATATTACCCAGCTTCTTGTTTAGTTTTTTTAATTCGTCATTTTCGTTTTGTTCGCAAGTTCTCCCAAATTAAAATGGCCTTGTGCCATGTTCTGGACGAAGTGAATGAGCGACTAAATACATTATCTCACCTTTCTTCCAATTATTTTTTCGCTTTATCGACTTCGTTTCTATCAATCTTATTTGTCTGAATTTCTTCTTTGTTGTCAACCTCCCTCGTTTTAACAATTTTCAAGCTGTCACTGATTTTTCATTTTCATCTTTCTCTTCATATTCTTCTTTTCCTTCTTCTTTGATGAACTTCTTTGTTTTAACTTTCAATCTTCCTCTAATTTTCTTTCTTTTTCGTTTTCCTTTTCTGTTTCATAATCGTTTTCTTTTTCTTCTTTTTCTTTTAAGCTTCCTTGTCTGAATTTCTTTCAATCATTCCCACATCTACCGTGATTGGCGCACTTTCTTCTTGCAAATTTCGCGCCATTTTCCCGATGACATTTCTAAATTGATGCTAATTTTTTCCCGCTCCTAATTTACATCGAAAACACTTTTAAATGTCAAATAATCAAATCGACTCGTCTCAAACAACTAAAAGCAGAAGAAAAGACGAGCAAATGAGAAGGTTGTCCAGAAGATACTGTAGTGACATATGGAAAGAGAGAGAGAGAGAGGAGGATAGATAGATAGATAGATAGATAGATAGATAGATAATAAAAACTGATTGATACAAATTCGAATTGATGTAAGAAAGACAGACATAAATAAACCGATAAATTTGAACATAGATAGAGCTAAATTTGAGGATAGATTGTAAACTGACTGAGATAGAAGGATAGATAGATAGATAGATAGATAGATAGATAGTGATTGAAAAGAGAGGTAATAAGGAATAGTGTGTCCACTGACCACACACATACACATTGACAGATCATTAAGTCTGCATCCTAATGAGGAAAAAATCAAGCCATCAAGATTTTCATAATAATGTTCGTCATATTCAATGCATTTAATTCAATCATTACACATTACACAGGAAAATGTCAGATAAAAGCTCAGTGAATATATATATATATATATATATATATATGAAATAGAACTAATGCTTTTAATTTATTTGCAAAAATAAAATTAAGGGTTTTTCTATTAAGAAACATGGTTGAACTGATGCTGAGAAAATAACCATATTTTAAATCAATTAATTTATAATATTAATGCTCTGTAAATTTAAATTGGAGCACTATTTTGTAAAAATAAAAATCTATAAGAACACCGGATTTTATATCTTACTGTTCTTTCTTTTTATTTATTTTATATATATATATATATATATATATATATATATATATATATATATATATATATATATAGAGAGAGAGAGAGAGAGAGAGAGAGAGAGAGTGAGAGAGCACCTGAGGTGGTGCAACGGTTGGAGATGGCTTGTCTGCTAGAACAGTTATGACTGAATAATGAGTTCGATCCTCATTGGGTGCCCTATACTTTTCGGCCTTGTGCCACATCTAAGCTACGCTTGGAAAATCACTATATATATATATATATATATATATACCCTTTGCAAATTAATTGAAACAAAACGAATAATTCTGTTATTATTGAATATTTTTCAAATGAAAGATGACCCGATGAAAGATAGGAAAGATGATTTCGATTGGTTTTAAATCAGGAGAGAATCCTGGCCAGTCTATAGTACTTTGATTTGCTCACTGGTAATGCTTGCTAGTGTGCCCGTGCAGCGATACAATTTTTGTACGCTTACTTGGAGTAACGTCCATCGCAGACAATGGCCGCAGGACTAACAATAGTGCCTGGGCGTGATGAAAATCTGATGCAATCACAGATGACGCAATTTTTTTCCCTGGCGAAACAAATTACATCATCCTGAAAATAGATTCAAATTACTGCACACCACTGCAAATGACGTAATCTGAGAAAAAATAATAGAATTCGATTACACCCTATCACTCCAGTTGATCTGAAACTGACCGTATGGTGAAAGAAAGGAAACTAAAGTGGCTGTTTCAAATAATTTGCAGAAGTGTATATATATATATATATATATATATATATATATATATATTTGTGTGTGTGTAAAAATAATAATAACAAATACGAATAATAATAATGAGAACGCTAATAATAATAATAAGCACAATACACACACAGACAGAACTATCAAAGCAAACCGTAGAGACATTGTTATCAGAGATCGCACACAAAAAAAGGTGCCTCCTTATTGATATGGCAGTCCCTGCAGACTGCAATGTATCTTTGAAGATCTTCAAAAAGATGTCAAAATACAAGGACCTTAAAATCGAAATCTCAAAAATGTAGCACATGTGAACATCAACAATCCCCGTTATAGTTGGATCCCTCGGGTTGGTTGGAAAAGATTCCAGTAGACTAATTGAAGGGATTCCTGGAAGCCCATGCCTTAAAGAAATATAAAATATTGTTCGCACGAGTACAGCCTACACTTTACGAAGGGCTTTGTCTATGTAAAATATTTTGTTTTTTTTCCAGTGGAAAATGTCATGATGCTATTTCTAACCTTAGATCCCTGGGAGGGACCCGGAAAGAAATGAGTACACATCAGAAATCAAAGGAAATAAAATAATAATAATAATAATAATAATAATAATAATATCTGTCACAACTTGGCAAGGGGGTCCGTAATAATAACGACAACACAGTTTAGTCTGGTTACTTCGCTACTGGCAGAATTTTTTTTCACATATAACAATATGGCTGACATGGTACTTCCGTGTCTGAACAATGGCTGAAATAGTGCTTCCGTTTCCTTAGTTTTTTTCCGTTACAACAATAGGAACAACAATATTAATAATAACAATCCCATCACTAGCAACACTATTAATAATAATGATAACATCAGCAATAATAACAACAACGACAATAATAATGATAATAACAACAGCAACAAAAACAATACACCCGAAATCCCTTTGTTGTTTCTGTATACTTTTTTACTGAATTAATAAAAATCTACAGTAAATATCTTATTCAGTCACACGGATTGGCTTATCAGTTGCGTGTTAACATTTGGAGGCAAAATCCATCTAAATCAGAGCTCTATAGAACCGTCCCTGATATTTCTACAATCTTACTCGAACACAGAATGGGCTTTGCAGGACAATGCTGGCGAGCAAAACAAGAACTTGTGAGTGATTTGGACACCTAACCATGGAGCAAGACGGGTTGGTCACCCAGCAAACACCTATATTGACCAGCTGTGTTATCACACAGAAAGCCACCTTAATGATCTTCTGATCTTGGGACAGAACCGTGATGGTTGGCGTGATAGACACATGAATGTCCATCTAACTCGATCGAATGATATAAATTCAGAAAATATTTTTATTGTTATGTTCCAAGTTCCTTGTACCACGGTGATGGTCCAAGGTTAGAACCAATGAAAGAATAACACGAACACAGGTATGGAATACAAAGATATATTAAAAACAGAAATATAATACAAAGAAGTAGAAGTATTAGTAATGACTATCAGATTTGGTTAGAGTGAACTATGTTGTCTCGACAAGTATCACTATTCCAATGCCCTTACAATATGCTCTGAATTATCTCTCCTTGTATTACCTCTTGAGAGGCGCAGTATTTATAATGTCAGGAATAGTCCATTATTACTATGGGTAAGTTCCCATAACAGTTATACTGCATGAATTTCAATATAATAGTCATTTACTGTTGTAATGTAGCGAAGGATATTGAATTGAATAATCAAACGATAATACTTAGGACAAGAACAACATATATAAGATTCGCCAGCGGCACGAAGAAGTAGTCAACTGTTAGAATTGATACAAGTGAATTCCACAATGAATCTTCAATTGCAGACATGCAATAATTTACTACTGTATTTATAGGAATGGGGACATACCCGTTATCGTCACTAGGTATGCTACAACACTTACTGAAACCAGTCCTACTTATTAACCCATAGCTAGGTGAGCAGAGGTGGATAATTAATTTCCAAAGGGTATTTGCACTTAAGTAAATCTAACGATTGTAATTAGAACTCGGATCACCAATTCCAAGAAGTTATCTATTAAACCACCTGCACACCCAGCATCTTGTATTCTCAAGCGATCACCTATCTAGGTACTAACCAGGCTCGATGTTGCTTAACTTCGGTGATCCTACAAGAACCGGTCTTTCAACGTGAGATAGCGATAAACTATATCATCCAATCTTAAAGCACCTGGTATTCTCAAGCAGTCACCCATCTACATACTGATCAGCCTCAATGTTGCTTAACTTCGGTGATCATAGGAGAACCGGTCTTTCAACGTGATATATCCATAAGCCATATCATCTGATCTTACAGCACCTGGTATTCTCAAGCGGTCACCCATCTAGATACTGATCATGTTCGACGTTGCTTAACTTCGTTGATCGCAAGAGAACCGGTTTCAACGCGATATGGCCGTAAGCCTGTATGTTCTCTAGACCCTGATTTATAGTGGAACTCTCTTTCTAGCTGGGTGTCATGAGAATTGGGCTTTTTTTTCTTTTAGTTTCAAGGGTGTGATGAATCGATTGGCTGATTTTTTGGGGGTAAATATTGCATTAATAATTCTTTTTTAGAATAACAATGAATTTTACAGAGACAAGGCCTGCTAGTCAACCCATGGCTGGAGGGAGAAGAAGAATTCATTCTTTTCGCAGGGGTCAGTCAGTTATGTTGCCATGCGTGATACACGCTTAGTCGGTCTGGTATCTTTCGATACATGACTGACGAGGCGGATATTTTCCCGCAGTAGGTTGCCACTTCTTTCTGTGACAGACCAGCTGTCATCCAAGGCTATAGAACCCGATGTGTCCTACTATTCACCCATAGCTGGGGTGGGGAGAAGAAGACGATGCATACCTTTCCCACGGGCATTAGCACGTAAGTGAATGTAATGGATCTGACTAGAATTCGAATCTGCAGGGGTATTGACGCGTAAATTAATATAACGAGCCGAAGTGGAATTGGAACTCGGCTCAACGATTAACAATTCACACCCTTAATCCATTTCACCATCCGTACATCCTGAGGTTGAAGTATGAGGCGGCTAAGTGGACTTGGAAAGTAAATCTAGGCACTGAGGAACACCCTCAAACAAAGACGTGTTGCCCAACCTGAAATCTGGATTGATTTGGCCCTGATAATATTCTATGAAAAGGCTTTATGTGCGACTTGATGAAGAACACACATAATGCAAGACAAGTTGAAAGAAAGTTAATAATAATAATAATAATAATAATAGCGAAATATATGCACTGGAAGATATGCAAGGAGCACAAAATCGAAACCACTGAGATATGGAATGAGCACCAACCAGACACTGTTACCCAAAATAACGATGTAACTATCCTCTGGGATATGACAATTTAAATTGACAGGGAAATAAAAGCCAACGGACCTGATATTATCATAAAAGACAAGAAATTTAGGAAGTGTATGATTCTTGACACAGCAGTACCATCTAAGAGAAACACCTCCAAGAAAATGATCGAGAAATTATCCAAATACAAGGACATGGAGATCGATATTAACAGGATATGGGAAATGAAGACCAAGAATGTACCAACAGTAATCGGAGCACTGGGCCTCGTGTGAAAAGAAATTTTACTAGCAGTGTCCCATATAACATCAGCATACAAATTGCCCAGAAGATCGCCCGACTAGGAACATTCTATTTTTTAAGCACTTCAGAAGATCAATGAACAGTGTAGGACCCAGGATAGGGCCTTGAGGAACACCAGCTTTCGTATGGAAGGCACTGGAAGAGGACCCCTTCAGGACAACCTTCATTTTACGTTTAGACAAGAATGATTGGATCAGATCAAATAACCGTTCTGTAATACCGTATTCCTGAAGCTTGCGTAGAAGGCCAGCATGTCAGACCCTGTCAAACGCCTTCGATATATCTAGAGTCACAGGTTGAATTTCGCCGTTATTATCAAGAGCTTGGTATACATATTGAGTTATGGCTGTAATCACATCAACGGTAGATCAGGCAAGGCGGAAACCATATTTTTTGTCAGAGAGCAGATCGTGGGAGATGAGATGCTTAACTACTTCGACATTGATTAAAGTCTCGAAGACTTTGCTGAAGAGTGGTAAGAGTCTGGTGGGACGCTACTTAAGTTGGTCAGAAGGGTCTCCAACTTTCTTAAAGACCGGGTGAGAGACACATTTCTTTAGGACTACGGCTGGTATCCCGTCATCACCACTTGTTTTATGAGAGTCTAATTTAGAGATGATGTCAAATACTATCAACGAAATTATGCGCATATCACTCAGTATAGCATCAGTTCTAGGGGGAAAATCAAGTGTGGGTACCCTGGATAAATCGTGTGCTGAATTGGATGAGTTGAATTTCCGAGCAAAGCATTCAGCCTTATCAACTGAGAATGTTACGATTTCAAATTGATTGAATAGAGGAGGGATTGAAGATTTTCTGTAGTTCAGCACATTCTTGAAAAACTGCCAAACATCTTTAGAAAAAAAATCTTGCCAGATGCAATACGTTGCTTTATCCTATCAGCAAACAGTAACTTTGCTTCATTGAGGACACGCTTGCACTCATTACGAGCAGAGACAAAGAGACGTCTGTTGCAATCGGTATTCCTCAAATTTTATTAAATTTCGATATACATTGTGTAGTTGGACAGCAATACGTCTGTTATGCAAATTTCTAGCAGAGGATATGCGCTGCTGATCAGTCCGAAAAAAGATGAAACGGCCGTCCAGTGCCTTTCTGCATGTGTGCGTGTTCAGGATTCTATGTTTAAACATGATGAATTATTATGAAAATTATACAAACTACTGATCATTTATTATAATGGTACCTTAAAGTGGTCTGTTTTTTTTTTTATATATATATATATATATATATATATATATATATATATATATATATATATATATATATATGTTTCATTAATTTATATAGAGAGTCCGTTTGAAGTTATTATAAAAATCCCATGAGGCTAAATAACTCTGATTTACTTTGAACAATTTTAAAAGATTAATTAAGACGTAAAAAAATGTTGAGTTACATTTTTAAGTAGTTTCAATATGTTTAATAAAGTTAAAGTATATTTAGAACCAAACTTGCCAGATAAAATACGTTGTTTCATCCTTATCAGCAAACAGTAACTTTGAGGACACTCTTGCACTCATTACGAGCAGAGACAAAGAGACGTCCGTTGCAATCAAACATGTCGCCCTGGTAAGATGGAAAAAGTGATTCCTATGGGCTATAGCGGCAAGGAGATGAGTGTGATTTAACTTAGTATTTTCTTGCTGGGATGAAAGCCTTGATGCCGGCTTTTACACAGGAGGAGACCTCGAACACACATTTTTGAACGGGATGATTAAAAACCACATTTCAAGGGACGTCGTGAAGGAAATCACGGAACGAGTCCCAGTTGATAAAAGAGATATTCTGTTAGTAGGAGGTTCATGGCTAGACGGGGAATGGAAGGAGATGTTAACAGACATCATCGCGCGCTCGGATTTACCAAGAAAGCAGACCTGCGTAGGGCGACGAGAATTAGGATTATGGGTCAAACAGTGATTGACAAAGGAAGCGTTACCGTCCGTGTTACTGGGGAAACGCGTAGGAAAGTAAACCATTTGCATTGAGGGAGTGAGTGATTGAAAATTTAAGGGTTTGGATGCCAGCGAGGTCAGTTACAGATTGTTTAAGCCACATAGTATGGTGGGCGTTAAAGTAACCGAACACGAATATGTTTGCAAACGGATGTCGAGAGACGGCCTTGTCTATATTATCGGAAGTGCTATCGAGTACACAACAGCCTTGGAAGGAAGGGAAACGGTAAAGAAAGAAGAGATAGCTAACTGAATAAGTGAGAGATAGACGGAGACACATATACGTGGATGATTCGAAAATATTCCAATGGACTCGTTGAAGGGATCCCTGGTAGCCCATGCCTTAAAGAAATACAAAAAATTGTACTCAAAAGTACAGTTCTCACCTAACTAAGGCTTTACATATGTAAAATTGTGTGTGATCTTAATTTTTTTTATTTTTCTTTCCAAAACTGCTCACTGGAAAAATTTATGGGGCCCTTTCTGAACTTAGGTCTCTGGTTAGGACCCAGAGAGAAATGTGTATACAACAGAAATCAGAGGAAATAAATAAATAAATAATAATAATAATAATAATCATAATATTGAAATCAAAGACCACAAAAACAGAATGTGCTTTCTTATTAACATGGTATGTCCTGCAGACTAACCCTAGCTGAAACCTTAAAGAAATACAAAAAAATGTACTTATAAGTATAAACTTTACGAAGGGATTTATCTATGTAAAATGTTTGTGATCTTGCGTTTTTTTGTTTGTTTTTTTTTTTTCCTCAAAAATGCTCAGTGGAAAATGTCATGATTCCGTTATTAGATCTCTGGTTAGGACCCGGAAAGAAATTATACACCAGAAACCAATGGACATGGAATAATAATAATGATAATAATAATAATAATGCGACACGTGAGGACATCAATAATTTCACTTGTATTTGGAGCCCTCGTATTGATTAAAAACAAGCTTCAGATAGACTTGCTGAAGGAATTTCTGCTAGTCCATGCTTTAAAGACATAAAAAAAAGATTGTGCTTAAGGATACAGCACACACCTTAAGAAGTGCATATGTAAAATGTGTCTAAACAGTGGAAAATATCATGAATTCATTTTTGAGCTTGGGTCTCTGGTTGGAAACCGGGGGAAATGTGTATACAACAGAAATCAAAGGAAATAATAACAACAATAATAATAATAATACCTAATTCTACACCCGTCATTGATTTAATCTTTTCTTATCTGAAAGTTTGACATATATATATATATATACTCACCCACACGAATATACACACTTACACACATCATACTCACTCACTCCCTAATGAGCCAAATGATAACACACACCCACAGCAATACACACGCTTACACGTATCATACTCACTCACCCCTAAAAACCAAATAACACACACAAACACTAAACAGAGACACATCCCTCACCAGGTCCAATAAAACTGTCAAACTGACCAGAGAATTCAGAGTAACATGTATCTATCAGCTCTTATCTCAAATAACAACTTAAAAGAGACTGTTTGACCAACAAAAGAATGTTAAAAGATTCATGTTAAAAATATAAAAAATAAAAAAAACAAATGAAAACTACAGACAAAAGTTCATTTTCTCCAGCAAAGACATTCATTTCTGTAGTTTAGTGCTACCAGCAAGCAGAAATATTTCTCCTCCCGATGATGGCCATTTCGGTCGAAACTAGTCGAGGAATCTAAATGGAATAATAAAAAAAAAAACGAAAGAATATTAATCTACAACCCAGTGTGTCTAAAGATTTTTTTTTTTTTTATTTTTCTTATTGTTCAATATATATATATATATATATATAT